AATAGGTGAGGATTTCTTTTTCCGTCTCTGTATGCATAAATCTGCATTCAAATATGTGCAATCTGCTGGTATAGGAGATGATTTTGTTACCGGAAGCTGTCTGGTTTCTGTCTGCAGTGTGAACAGTACTGATCAGTCACATTTTAGTAACTTCTGACCACAGTATGGTGGAAGTCATGGCCTAGATATCTGTTAACCGTAAATGTCCTCGCTACACTGGAAGCCCTGAAACGCTGGCGGTTGTCCCCAGAGGCTAACTCATTAGACGATAGCCGATGGGCTCCCAGATTGGTGATGAATAAAAAGCTCATTGATTCCGTCATGCGTCACATGTCCATGTAGATTTATTTACCCTTTGCATCGTGCACACCAGGGAACAGATTGTGTCTGGATTTTTAACTCTTTTTGTTTTATTTTGTACATATGTTCAAATCACTAGGGAGCCTCTCATGGTCTCCTCGTGTGCTAAATGATTGTCTTGGACGAGTACGTGTGCAAATTTGTGTGTTTACAGGGGAAGGGGTGCTATCTCTGCAGATGGAGGCGAGGCAGCGGGCAAGCAAGCAATTACAAGCTGGTTGGCTTACACCTCCCCCCACCGTCACCCATACATCGCCCTGGGGCTTGCTTGCATTAAGAAATCATGGGTATAATGGTGGAATGGGCCTCAGGGCCCCCTCCAAAACAACCTGCTAATCCCCTTGTGGTGATGGGAGGGTGTTGAATCTGGGGGTAACAGGGCATCCCGGCCGCTCCGACAATGAGTCCACCCCTGACACGCGCCAGCGCCCTCAACCACCCATCGCTTCACACCGCACCTCCTCCAACCACCCCAATCAACTACAGCAACATCCTCCCGAGGGAGGAAACAAGCGATGTCAGCCACGGGAGAGGAAAACCCCCCAGGCCCAGCGTCGCCCCTCCATCTCAGCTGGGCCTCGAGCAGAAACATTCAATCAGATCACTGCGCCTTTCTCTCTGCATCTCCTGGCTGTTTTTGTGCCACAGCACTCAAACAAAGGATGCACGCTAAATCGAGCTTCGCCAATCAACCTCTGGTAGAGAATTCAACTTGCACAAACAGATCCGAAGCAGCTCGTTAAAATGGTTTAATTATGTATCCAAATTGTGATGAGCAATGACACGCTTGATTGGTTGTATCAGAGGGCCTTAATGAGGAGAAAGGCCTCACTCTGTCTGAGAATTAACATGACGTCTGCTCTCGCTAAACATGACACAATGCAGCCTCCAGTGCTCTCTCTTTCCCTCGCTCTGTCTATTCAGCGACTGAGTCAAACTGTGTTTGTCCTGGGCGGCATTCGTGACAGATTACTCTTCATCTGCTTATGGAGCGTCGGACAGACTTCCTCGGGTAAGTTTGTGATCAAATATTCGGTTTAGCTTAAATCAACGCCATAATGTCACACCACCTCTTATTTCTTTCAATGGCAATCTCATCCTGTTTACCAGGAACCTGTGCCATCTCTGTGCTGAGATCTATGACTTCCATATATAAAGAGATTTTTCCTCTTTGTTCAGTTTAGTGTTTCCCCATCCCAGCCCCAGCAAGTCCATTTAGAAATCATACATTAACATCGTCTCATCAATCTTCCAACCTTCTAGCTTCAGGTTAAAAACCAGTAATCATCCCGCTGGTGGGCTAATGGGCACCTTAACATCAACTCGCCGAGAGTCCATTCATATTTCATGAACGGCAGTGCCCCCCCATCTTCCCCGGGCCCCGCTCAGCTCGTAAGGCAAATCGACATCAAAAGCGTCAACCTTCCAATTAGATGGCGAGACATTCTGATCTCATCTCAATTTGGCCCGAGATCAAATCTTCCCACAAAGATCCAAGGAATTCCGAGCCCTTTTAGTTAGCCAGCCTACCCTGTCAAACGGGGAGAAAATGTTCACTGAAAGCACTTGGAGGAGGAGGTCGCATTAAAAAATGCCTAACGCAGGGACCTTCCTGTTCCAATATTTAGATATCGAGATATCACAGCAATTCCAACAGCAACAGTGTTCAAGAAAGGTGCTAGGGGAGTGTGGTTGAAAACAAAGACCAGATGTGAAAACATGACGTTAATCCTAGTGAGGTGCGACTTAGAGCAATGGCACTTCAGGCAGTGTTTTGGGAAGACCTGTGTAAAGCACCAGATGTTCCTCCTGGCATGAATAATTTAGACAGTGATTCCAGGTGGGCATCAATGGCCACTTCACAAATGAGTCTATTTTGCCGTAAGATAAGCATCAAGTTGTCCTTTTGCCCCGCAAAATAAGTGATCGATGTGAAGACCAGCTGATTTCATATATTCTCTGTTATTTGTAAAAACAATGCAGCAAAGACACTAAGCTACAAGAAGTATATATAGTCTAAAAGCCTTAGAAATGCCTCATTTCCTCAGCTCCTCAGACAGTTTTTTTCCACTCTTTTCTCTATATGAGGTCAACGAGAGAGGATTTCCCTAATATGGTCACATCACCCACGCAGCTCTGTTAGCACAAAAGCCCCACCCACCTGTTGTTAAAACACTTGTTTTTACAGAAGGAAACCAATCAGAAGAATGCTGGTTTAACAGGAGGGAGAAGGGAGCTTTTTTACCCAGGCAATGGATTCACTGCAGCAAGGCCCAGAGGAAAGTAAATAAGAATTACTCTGAGTTGTCAGTCACAAAAGGCTTCTCCAGTAGACTCCAAGAATAAAAATACGGAGCTGGAAATAAAGGAAAACAGCCGCCCTTCTTCTTTCACTCCTCTAAGGGTCACTATATGTTACAGAAAGTGAAATTCTCATAGTGTGGCAACCCTATCTAACACCCCCAACATTCACACCCAGTATGCGCCTGTAAGCAAGGTTCTTTCTTCTATATCTTTCTCTTTTGTTACGCAGCTATTCCTGTCACCATCCCTATAAAAGGTCAGCCTTCCATCCCACCTTTGACTGTGACAGTTGTGAACCAATATAAACACATATTTCCTTCCAACAATGCAAGGAAAAACCTCTTTTAAACCCCCTCTTTGTTGCTCAATAGTTTCTCTAAAGTCTGTCAGTGTCTGGAGGGGATATCACTCATTCTGTTGGTTCGAGCGGATCAATAGAGAGACTAAAAACAAATCAACCTGCCCGAATCTCTGACTGCGACCGCTTAACCTGCTGAAGCTGCAATTATCATAACTAAAAGCAATCTGTGTCAACCTTTCTTGTGTGCGTGTGTGTCTGGCTCTTCAAACCTGAATTTCACAACAGGAAATCAGCACAGTTCCTTCCTTGAAAAGGATCAGGCCACACAGAAGAGTGCCTCTGCCAAAACAAGTCTTAGAAAATAAATCTCAGCCAATTAATGGGGTCTTATTGGGAGTTATCGAGGAAGAGGGTGTGTGTGTGTGTGTG